AAACAAGGAGCAATGCACGTCAAATTTGCTTCAGTAACAGAGTGTAATGATCAGCGTAGAATGCCACTTTTCCGAAGAGCTTGTGCTCTCCGCCTGCGCAAACGCATGCAAGACCAAACAGTACATGCGCAAAACATTATATTCACCAGTGTCGATCTGACTCACGAGGGAGTGTATTGCGCATGATTATGAAGCTACTCGTGCTATGTGAGTAGCAATATTCTGTGACTATTCATACTACATCAGCTTTTTGCTCTTCGTTTGCAAGCATGGGCTTGAAGTATTCCTTTTCATTTTTCTGTTCTATTCGCGCATTTTTAGCCCACTGTTAACAACAGGGAAATCAGAAGCATTCTCTTACCTTTAACTCAACAAAGTGATGCTGATACCAATACAACAACAACTCTGCAATGCACATAGGACGATCCCACGCCAAATAAAACCAAGTTTCTACGGACTACTTCAAAGAATTTCCAAGGTATTTTATCCGGCAACTTTATTACAGCTTAGGTTTAACGTCAGTTTGTGATCAGTCGTAGAAATAGTCGTCTGCACAAGACTGCGCTTAATCATTTTAACAGCAGAATCTAAATCTAGTTTATTGTATTTTTTTAAAATCCGTTCTAAGACATATGGTGTGGTAGCGGTAAGCGTGTTCTGCATGATACAGGGAATAAAAAGAAGGGCTAAGCTAAAGGCTGTGTCTTTTCTGAATGGAGGACCTGCGTTTATTGTTATGCCTTGCCTTAACATTGAACTCATTCACGACAATTCAGACAACTTCATGGCGAAGCACAAACTCATCCTAGGCTGCTGGCCTGTTGAAATGTAAATAGCGGATCGATAACTCCAGATCACAGTCGGGAATGCACATCTAGTGAAGCACGACTTCCGCACGCACAGCATAGAACATCTAGTATCACTAAAAAGGTGGTTGAATCATGCGAACTTGGCAACATCAACCCTAATGTCGTGTTGGACACGTGCTATGCTACCACGCTACACGGTCTGATCGAAGGTAGACAGTTCAAACAGGACACCCAAAAATCGATTACCTCGGTCGGCCGGCAGGCGGGTTCATTCAACGCCGAGTCTTTTGTGAATATGTTCGAGCTCCTCTTATGCTGTATAATTCTAATAATCATTAAGCTCTATGAGAAATACGGACGTAGAAATAAATATTTCCCAGCAATAGGACAGTGTTCAATGCTACTGTCGGAAACCGTAGGTAAGCTACTGCGTGAATGCGAATGTCTGAAATGCTTATTTTTTATACACCATATTTCTACTGTTGTCGGTATTTTTTGCAGATATTTTAGAACCCCAGGTTCACCATGCAATTATTTCGACTGTAAGGCCACCACCCAGTTTCCCCCTCACCAGCACGACCCCAATCATAGGATACGCAAGGTAAAGCATAGATTTACTTAATATTTAATGCTATCTTTCGAATATGTACTATTTGCTTTGGGTTTTACAAGCTGTTGGGCTAAATGACTTTTTTTTATCATGTGCTACTTATAGACCACAGAAATGTAAGACCCTCAAGAGATGTCGATTTTCATCAATCGTGGAAGATGATCACAATAACCGGGCACCGTCCTCCAGTAAATCAGCGACTGAAATGAAGAAACCGCTGCCGCGACAATCATCAGATTATTGCTACTACTACTACGAAGATGGGGCTTTGGTTCCAATCCATATTCAAAGCAAACAGCAACAAGTTGATGACAGTAGAATGATGCCGTTGGAACCCAAGGCATTTTTGCCGCCGGCCCTGGCTAACTGGGATTTTTGCCAAAATGCCCACAATACCACTGCTGCCGGGGACGCCATCGGCTCTAGCGTGTCAACAGGCATAAACCCCCAGCAGAAGCCTTCTGTTCGCAAAGGAAATTTCACTTGGCTACACAGTGAGTGTGATGTATCCCTTGCAATCTGACCAGTTTGGCAGCTCTATTGACGTCTGTTTTTATGCATGTTTTTTTCCTCATTTTCCTAGAGAAAAGGCCAAGGGCAGCAACGGCTAAATCGCCATCAGTGTCTGGAGAAGTTGAATGCACGGCCGGACGTTCCAAGCCTCCCAAACGTTTTAAGTCCATAAGACACTTTTTCTCGCGTTGTTTTTAAAACCGGTGATATGATTTTAAGGCACTTTTCCCTGATGCAGACACTATTAAGAAATCAATTTCAGAAGCTGATAGATGATTTGCCCAATTAAGGTATAATTACGTACTCCAATCCTACTGAATTGAAAATGTGCCTATCCGTAGTTTGTAGTCTGTTTTTTTAGAATAAATAATGCCATCTCTGTAAGCCTTCTTTTTCATGGAATTTCGGTATCTCAATAAGATCGCGAAATGGTACGGGAACCTTTTTATTGGCAGTGAACTAATGTATGGCCGTATAGACATATGCAATCGATATGTGGGTGTGTAATACCGAAATGACGTCAATGGGCGGTTGGAGAATTTAAAGGGCATATCACTGGGGGTGAAGTAAGTTAAACCCTAGCAATTGCGATCTTCAAACCATGGTTACATAGTTGAGGAGAAGTCTTGGAAAGGCCAGAGTGTTAGGAACAGTATATTGTGTATACGGAGGAGCAGAGAATAGATGGAAGGAGATTTGACTTGGAGAGCATACAACCAGCCAGGAGGCCGGGCGGGCGGGTCCAAGTGGGGTTTTAGTAGCAGTTGGCAAGCTGCAGCGATAACGGGCATTGTCCGGTTGCCTCGAACGTTGTTGGCTGGACAGACTGCATCGACCTAGGCGTGCCTAGGTCTTATTCGCCGTAGGAACCTACCAGCCTTTGTGACGTTTGTGATTGGCTGTTGCAGGGGCCGCCTTTAGCGTAGTCGCACTTGTTATGAGGGTTGGAGCTTTCGGACTTGCTTCTTTATGTGGAGTGAGTCGCTAGAATCCGTCGTCATTCAAAGGCAGCAGAGTTTTAGCATTGAGTTATACCGTATTATACGCCTATTTTTAATCTTACATAGCACCAACTCTTCGGGTTTATCAGCATATGCGCAGGGGGAAAGTAAGTTAAACCGTAGCAAATGCCATCTTAGGATCATGGTCGCTTGGTAGAGAAGAAGTCTTGGGAAGGCCAGAGTTTAGGAAATAATTTATTGTCGACAGAGTGGAACGGAGAATGGATGGAAGAAATCTGACTTTGGAGCACACGACCAGCCAGGAGGCCGGGCGGGCGTTTCCAAGTGCCAGTTTGACAGTAGTCAGGCCAGTGGGCAGAGGGAGCAATTCACGCGTGCAGGCTTGCTATTTATCGCCGTGCTAAGGACCAGCTATGCGGCATCTGTGACTGGCTGTTCGCAGATATCGAGAAGCGCTGTCGTGAGATTCTGGCGGAGTTCACTTCGACGCGAGCTTATCTCTATAGTTTCATTAAGGTAAGCATTTCTTGTCGACTGCGTAAGGTTGTTCTTCCTTTCCAAACCGTCACTGTCAGGGTCTTGTGCTCGTTTAGAGACCAGCAATTTGATGGCCTAAATTTATTTGCCTTATACACCCAAAATACAAGAATTTATATCAAGGTTTTAACAGGCAAATTGTCACTATTTAAGTATTACTATGATGGCGGCTTTTACCGAATAATATTCAAAGGAAGGTACGTTTGGCAACGTTTTTCAACGGTGTTCTTTTTTCTCCCCAGTGTACTGGAACCATTACTCAGTGATGTCCACGCTTGCTGCATATTGTTTTCGAGGCCAAACAGTCGCTGTTCCGGGTATTTGCCGAGGGGACGCTAGCAAAACAACCGCAGTACTGACACTAATCACCTTCGTACACTGTGTGGGCAGCCAGATAAACAGCAGAAATTAGTAGTGTGGCAAGCAAAATGTTTTACATCCGTCAACAATTCATCTTTTTTAATTAATAGTCAGCTTTCTTTGACAATTACGATGAACTAAGAAAGAAGCAGGAAAAATCCCCTACGATGAAATCGAGAGCAAATTTCAAAGAGTAAACGTTTTCAAAGAAACTGGAGAAGAAAAAAATTGTTCCACGAATAGATGTAAAGGAGAGTATATTGATACAATAGAGGGGGATAGGACCGTGCTGTCCATTAGATCGTGTGAGGGTTCCTGGCTGTGCCAGAAAGCACAAAGCAACTAGAGCTACTGTCAACTGCCTTACAATCGTAAGGTCGGCTACAAGATCAGCCATCATAGAGGCGAGACAGGGAGAGATCTTTACGGACATAATTGGTATGCTTGGTGTCAAACCCACGGGGGGCAGTAGAGGTCACGAGATCATCACCAAATTGCCGGAGTTGCTAGCATGATACATCCTTAAGGACTGCATTATTTCGCCGCGATTGTTAACGGTCCGTTGTAATTCACCACAATGGACAACACTTAAAAAACGTGTAGAGCATGGCCACAGGGTGCAGTGACTGGTAAAATCGTCGCAGTTCGCATAAATGTAAGTAAAAGAGCATACTATACTACTACCACAGTAGAAAGCAATAGCATAGGAAACAGCCGTTCTCTAATTAATACATGAAGTAGGTGTCCATTAGACGTCTGTTGAAAGCACCTTAGTGTTTCACTGTGGATTCCGGCTGTGTTTACCATGGGAAATCCCGCATGTGGGACACAGGGATGGTAACAGCGCACCATCTATCGACAGCTGACCTCCCAAATCCAGCAAAGCTGGTAGGTAAGGCAAATCCAGGGAGATGGGAGACGAGATCACTCGCAGAAGCTTCCGAACAGGACAAATCTGGCTACGCATGCCACGCACACTGGACCAAGTGTTCACCAAATCGCTAGATGTATCCTCTAGGCTATCGTGTTATGGGTGCAATTCCCGAATTGCATTAATCAACACGATACACGGGGTGTGGCTACACGCTTGGTTCACGATGCTACATATAAAATTGCTTCATGGTAGTCAGCAATTGTGCTGTGGAGATGGCCACAGTGAGTTTGGAAACTGCGTCGCCAATTTTTTTTAAATGTGGTCAAAACTGCGATATCGCTGTCTACGTTAGGCCTTGTGTAAGCCCCTAATGAAGAACATAACATGAAGTGCGCAGAAAGTAG